CTCTTACAAATGACTGTGTAATGTGGCTCTTACATGTAGTATCTGCAAAAAGGACCCCGGATAGTGAATAAAGGAATGGGCCCAGGTCCAGATCCTGCAGCTGGATTATTAATATATCACTGAATATTGTTTTTTATGCTTGAGAATTAGAAATAGCATACTTTCCCTATCCTCACCTGTTGTAAAAGTAGACGAATAGTTGAGCAAGCCAGGGTGGGGGCTTCTTGGCCATTTTCTATGTGCGAATCCTTCCATCAACTGGAAGAGGATGGGCTTGACAAACTGTCGCAAAAATTATTAGACAATGGTAGGTACTATAGGAACTGGGCCAGTCTTTGGCCCAGGGATTATTTATATAAAATATAATAAGGGAAGACAAGAAAAGCTGAGATGTTTTGCAAATGTTTTATAATGTGTTTTATGTCATGAGCATGTAATAAATCAATGAGAAAGGTGTTTCTCAACTGCAAAGTGTAACCATTAGTGCATCTTAAAATCAGACGGGTGCGGTGACTCAGGCCTGTAATCCCAGCACTTTGGGAAGCCGAGGTGGGAGGATCACGAGGTCAGGAGTTCAAGATCAGCCTGGCCAACGTGGTAAAACTCCATTTCTACTAAAAATACAAAAATCAACTGAGAATGGTGGTGTATGCCTATAATCCCAACTACTCGGGAGGCTGAGGCAGTAAATTGCTTGTACCAGGACCTAGGAGGTGGAGGTTGCAGTGAGCTGAGATTGTGCCACTGCACTCCAGCCTCGGCTAAAGAGCAAGACTCTGTCTCAAAAAAAAAAAAAAAAAAAAAGATTCATTCTCTACCTGTTTTCTCAAAGCCTTGTTACAGCTCTAAGCAAATAATTATATGAGTCATTTAGTAACTCATCCACTAGATATTAAGCTGATTTGCAACAGTTAGACAGATAGTGTGCCCAAGAAATAAACTGTGGTTATCCATCACTAAAATTTTAAAGGTGTTTGTTACTGCATAACATAACACAATATGGCCTACTCTGATACAGAAATTGTGGGAGAAGAGAATATGAATTTGAGATTTGACTACCAAGGGATTCTGTGCTTGTCGGGATTTTGGACGTCAGTGACTAAAGCCTTGCTGCTCAGTGTGTAGTGAGAAACCCGCAGCACCAGCATCGCCAGGGAGCCTACTAGAACGAGACTCTTGCGCCCCACCTGAGACTAATTCAATCATAGACTCTGCCCTTTAACAAGATCTCCAGATGATTCAAATGAATGCTGAAGTTTGAGAGGTGGTAGTCTAGAGACAGCTGGAAATTCTGAAGCACCCGAAATAAATCTCCAGGTGTAACAGTGAGAGCCATCCATACTGCACAGGCTCCAAAGTGTGGTCCCTGGACCATGAGTATCACATCACCTGGGGTAATTGGTTTTTTAGAGCCGCAATGTCTTGGGACTCAACCAAGACCTACTGAATTGGAAACTCCCTAAGTGGGGCCCAGCAATCTGAGTTTTGACAACACCCCAGGGAACTGCCATGCACACTACAGTTGGAGAATCGCTGCTGTATGTCAATGAGAGCTGAAATTACAGCAGTTAATTCTACTCCTCCTGAAAGAAGGAAGACGTAAGACACAAATAGTCATAATAATTGTTCCTATGAGAAAATACGATCTGCATTATAATACTGATCTTTATGATACATCTTCTAGAATGCATGCTGCGTGGATCAAGGTCTGGCCATAGACTGTTTTCACCACTGTGGTGGTTGTGTATGACAGACGCACCTGCCAGCAATGACTTGAGCATCCCCTGAGAGTAACCTGGTATGGCAGATGCAGCTTAATGTGTGTCCAGAGTTTGCAACTAAGGAATCTGGGAGTGGCCAATCTGGAGACCCACTGCTCTTCTATGAGGAACAGCTGAGCCCCTGGCGCTTCCCAGGCAATGCCATGGAACACCAGCCACACAGGGGATGGAGGCGTTTTGTTTGAGGTTAAATGAAGGTTGCCAGGTGGAAGCTGTTAGGGGGAGGCTATTGGATGAAAATGCTTTGTAAATTACATGCCTTTTGCTAGTGGTTGTGGTTCTCCTGTCCAGCCCTGTGCCACTGGACTCCCTCCCCTGTATGCAAGTCCCGAATAAAACCCCAGGTCTCGTTGGCTGGTTCTGGGTCTCTTCAGCCTGCTGAACCTGGGTCATCCCCACTGGAGTGGGCAGGGGTTCTGTGCAACATACGGTGATCACAGGTCTGCTTCCCTCTCAGGTGGAAGTAGTAGGATGGCATCCGGAATAAAGAGGAATGGGATAGAGGGAAGGGCCAGGAAGGGAGGTGGGCGTCATAAGCCTGCTCCGCATTTTGCTGGTCCTGGTTCAGGCCTGACTGCACGTGGAGCACTGTGACAAGTGCTGCCAGACATGTCCAGTGCAGGCCTCCCTGGGATCCAGTTTCTCTCCCTTTTATCAAGAATTCAACAGAGCTAGGCACACTGGTTCACACCTGTAATTACAACTCAGGAGGCTGACGTGGGAGGATCACTTGAGTCAATGAGTTTGAGGCTGCAGTGAGCTAGGATTGCCCCACTGCACTCCAGCCTGGGTGACAGAGCAAGAGCGAGAATCTATCTTTTGTTTTTTTTTAAAAAAAGAATGCAGTAGAGTAAGAAAGAGAAACTGCAGATATGACCCAAGAATCTGCACAGCGACAGGCTAAGCCACAGTGTCTCTGACCATGGATCATTCCAGAATGCCACAGATCCAGTGCATTAATTCTTTGTTCATTCGTTCATATTTTCATCCAATATTTGGTGAGTGCCTTTTTTGTCTAAGGCCTGGAAAGCCAGTGGAGAGGCCTCTGGTTCTGGGGCTTAGGGAAGGGATGGAGTGGTAACCCAGTGAGCAAAGTCACAGTTCTTCCTCAAACTGAGAATCTCAACTGGACCACCTCTCCTCCCACTTCACAGAAAAGGCAGGCTGAGGCCAAACCTACAACACATTGCTTCGTGATTTCCCAGTTTCACTTTGCTCTTTTGCAAAGCAGAGATTGAGAAGACCAAGGAGGAAGATGCATTCATGGTGGAACATGGAGGATTTTCATCCCCACAGAGCCTCCTACATAGGCTGTGAGCTAACTCCTCACTTCACACACAGGGAGGTGATCTATCCATCTCGGGTGGGGGCCGACAGCTCTGGCAGAAAGTCAGAATCACCCGTGAAGCCTGCAGCAATCTCAAAGCCCAGGCCACTCCTCAGACCAAAGAAGTCAGAGTCCCTTGGGTTGGGACCCAGGTACCGGTATTTTTAAAAATTTTGCAGGTGATTCTACAGCATAAGCATGGCTGGGAACAACGGTTCCAGGGAGGGTCTCGGGTCCCAGGTCTTGACCCTTTATGGAGCTGAGTGTCATGCCCTGAAGGTCAAAGGTCTGGATTCCCAGGATTCTTAGCTCATATTTTTCAATTTCAAGAGTCTGTTTTGTATTCAAAGTGAGCTATTACATTTAAGCTATTGTGTCGTAATGTATACTCAATTTATTTTTTATTTACATAAATGTTTACTAAACTTCAGATGCAGAATATTTAGCCAAAAGAACAATTTTTTTTCTTTCTGATATAACAAAGTATGCTGGTAGTAGGACTACTTTTTAATGAATAATTTCATTTGCGACATAATCAGCATGGTCAAAAGTTGTTATTACGAACCCTTAGTAGAGGGAATGCAGCTATTTGCATGATACAATGTCAGCAGTTTAGGCAGGTGGTGATCAGACTTTGGTTTACAGGATGGGAAATTTACAGGGCCTGGGGAATGAGACAGACCTCCACCAACCATTACTTTGCTCTTAACATCTGTTCCCACAATTTTATTCCTTCTGTATTAAAATTTACGATGGACTTTACTTGGCAATTTTACAATGGATTAAAAGTTGCTAAAATTACTACGTTGTTAATATTGTTGTAGTTGGCATCAGATCCTCTAACACCTCTGAATATCTTTAACCTAAGAAAAGTTCATTCATATTCATGGTGGAAGAGAAAGGAGAGGTGGACTATGCCTACGTTCTTACAGACTCATGAAAATTCTTTCCTATTTTGGTGTTTTGAGAGTGAGGATCAGCAGCGTAGGCATCACCAGGAGCTTATTAAAACGCAGAATCTTGGCCGGGCGCAGTGGCTCACGCCTGTAATCCCAGCACTTTGGGAGGCCAAGGCGGGCAGATCACCTGAGGTCGGGAGTTCAAGACCAGCCTAACCAACATGGAGAAACCTCATCTCTACTAAAAATACAAAATTAGCCAGGCGTGGTGGCAGGTGCCTGTAATCCCAGCTACTCGGGAGGCTGAGGCAGGAGAATGGCTTGAACTTGGGAGGCAAAGGTTACAGTGAGCCAAGATCATGCCATTGCGCTCCAGCCTGGGCAATAAGAGTGAAACTCCATCTCAAAAAAAAAAAAAGCAGAATCTTGGGTCACAATCCAGGCCTGATGAACCGGAAACTGCAATAAAGCTCCGCGGATGATCCATAAACAGAAACGATTTAACTACCGATGTAGCACATCTTTGCTACTTGGGAAATAGGAGCTAATTAAATCCATACATGGGGGTTGGAGATGGTCATAGATGTGAACAGTCTTTGATAACAAAGCAGCTCAAAATCTGAGCTAAAAATCAGTTGCAAACACTTCCTTGATTATAAAAAGGTTGTTGAGACTAGTAGAAAAATGACACAAATCAATTCACCTTTTACGCTGGTGATGTCCATTTGTGACAATATGAATTTGGTCATAATGATATATTAGTAGTAAACAGACACATTGCTTTTTTTTTTTTGCAAATGGTGTACTTAAAAAAAAAAACCTGTCTACTATTAATAAGATTACGGAGAGAGAAGAATTGTTCTGTTCTGTGATCGAGTTAGAGACACAACCTACACAGGCTGTAAGTCTCATTTTTAGGAGGTCTCCTACATTAAATGCTTCTGTTGCCTCTTTGTTTTCCACCTTGCCCTGGCTCTTAGGACACTCTCTTACCTCGTGGGGTTGTTGGTACTGAGAGGCCATCAGAAGGAATGCCCGCTGTGCCTGGAAAGCGCTGTGCACCATTTCTGCCTGGGAACAAAGAGGAAGATGGCAGTTTCATTGTTTAACTCCTAAACATTGTTACCATATAATCCGGCAATTCTACCTGCAGGTATATATTCAAGAAAATGAAAACATATGTTCACACAAAAACTCATAGATGAATGCTCATAACAGCATCATATAATAACCAAAACGTGGGAACAACCTGACCATCCATCAACTCATGAACCAATAATGTGATATACCCATACAATGAAATATTATTCAGCATTAAAAAAAAAAAAACACCAAGGTACTGACACCTGCCATGATGTAGATGACCCTTGAAAACATTATGCTGAATAAATGAAGCCAGTCGAAAAAGAGCACATTTGTATAATCCCATTTATATAAAATGTCCAGGAGAAGCAAATCTACAGAGACAGAAACCACTACAGATGAGTGGGTGCCGGGGCTGCTGGGAGGGAGGAATGGGGAGTGAACCACTAATGGATACAGGGTTTCTTTTGGGGGTGGTGAAAATGTTCGGGAATTAGACAGTGATGATGGTTCCACGAGTTGGTGAATATACTGAATCATACACTTTAAAAGGATGAATATTATGACATGTGAATTATATTTCAATAAAGTTGTTAAAAAATGTTTGAGCCCCAAAGTGCGCTTGTTTTCAAAGGCTGTCTCTCTCTTATCCTCTTTCATACTGTGCCCAAATTCTGTTCTACACCTTCTAGTGGAAATTGTGTATTTTCTTCAATGGTCGCTCAAGCTGTCCCCATGCAGATATGCTCACTGAAAGCCAGTGGCTTCTAATCATTAAGATGGGCCTGGGAGAGATTTTGGTGGCACTTGGGCCCTGGTAGAAGGGGCCCCACCTGCACTCAACACCCCATAAGGATACATGCCAGCAGGAATGCCCTCAAACACATATTCTCTTACCTTCACCCTCTACTCATTCAACTAATTTGTTAATTTTTATTTTTTGTTTTTTTGTCATATTAATTTTTTAAATTAAAAAAATTACCTAAGTGTATGAAGAAAAAACATCCAGACCACCCAGAATTAACCATTATGACATTTTTTTCTAGTTTTTAAGAAAATTCATGTAGTTATTCAGCTGGGCGTGGTGGCTCGTGCTTGTAATCCCAGCACTTTGGGAGGCCGAGGTGGGTGAATCATGAGGTCAGGAGTTCAAGACTAGCCTGGCCAACACAGTGAAACCTTGTCTTTACTAAAAATACAAAAATTAGCTGGACGTGGTGGCAGGTGCCTGTAATCCCAGCTACTTGGGAGACTGAGGCAGGAGAATCGCTTGAACTCGGGAGGTGGAGGTTGCAGTGAGCCAAGATCACGCCACTGCACTCTAGCTTGGTGACAGAGTGAGACTCCACCTCAAAAAAAAACCACACACACACACACACACACAAGAAAAGAAAATTCATGCAGTTATTCTTGTGAGATAAAGTGTATTAACTTACAATAATTTTTTTTAATGCAGAAAGTTTCAAAGATTAGGCAAAACATGGCGGCTCATGCCTGTAATCCCAGCACTGTGGGAGGCCAAGGTGGGCAGATCACCTGAGGTCAGGAGTTCGAGACCAGCTTGGCCAACATGGTGAAACCCTGTCTCTACTAAAAATACAAAAATTAGCCAGGCATGGTGGCTTGTGCCTGTAGTCCCAGCTACTTGGGAGGCTAGCTTGATGTTTTTCTCCCTTGTAGGAAATTGACTTATTCTGATTTGATAACTCAAGAATTATTTCTTTATCCTTAAGGTTTAATAGCTTAACTAAGATATGTTTGTATTTTGAACATTCCATACTATATTTCCTGGAATAGATTTGGTCCCTTCTTCATTTCTGGGCAATTTTATTATACCTGTCAACATCTCTTCTGTTCCTTTTGTTAGTCTCTATTCAGGGACTCAGTTATTATCCTCATAGCGTAGAATATTTGAATGTCTTCATATCTTTTAGAGTCTGTCTTTAATCTCCTTGTTTGTTATCTGTATTCTCTGTGATTATAAGAATACTTTCTCTATTGTTAGTAAACAAACTTTCAGCAGGTCTCATACATGTCAACATTTCTAATTTATATATCATTTTTGCATCAATGTGTTTAATTCTTGATTTGTCAGACTTTCAATTTCCATTTTAATTTCCTTCTTGTTTTATCACCTTGTCTTTAGGCTATTTTTAAAATACCTTTTATACTCTTGTTAAGTTCTAAGAGTACAAGTTATCCTCTTATTAAGCCATTGTGAGGAACCTGTTTCTGTTCCTTAAGTCCGGTTTTCTTCAAGGGTAAGCCCACATCTTTCCACTTTGCATGCTAGCCTCCTTTCTGACACATTAATTGCAGCTGCCACATTGGCTCTTTCCATCTTGCACATATTTTAATTTTTTCAGGTATTTTAATTTTTCTGATAAAATCTAGGGGATTCCTTGCCATGATACTGGAGATCAGCTCCTTTGCCCTTTCAAGCAAGAATCTGGAGGCTAAATTCTTTAAGGCCTGATAGAAGAAGGATAGGAAGAATTTGGCTTGGGCGAGGTCCAGTTTTTATTTGTGTCTTCAAGTACTGCTCATTCCTCTGGGAATTTGCTATATGACCCAAACCAGCGTTCACTCCACCTACTTGGAACATGTGCCATTCGGATGGAGTCGTCCCTTGCGACTTTACATCATTTCTCTGATTCAGAACCTAGGCATGAGGATTTTACATCCATAAACAGAAGCAGTCCATGGAGTTCTTTTCTTGCTTCATATTCTCCGTTCCTGATTTCATTTCCCCTAAGGAATTTCTTTAAAGGGGGTTGGGGGTAGGGTTAGAAATCAAAAGCCACTCAGCCACCAGTTACTAAAATGTATTGCTTTAGGTTATGGGTCTTTTGTTTGCTTGAGTGAGCAAACACCTATTACTGAGGTGTTTTTCTTTAACTTTGTGGGGAGGGAAAAATTCTGTGATTTGGTTTTATTTGGTCATGAGTTTATTTTCTTCTACACATAATTTCATTTTTAATCTCCTCCTTGTTAGCTCCACATCTGTTTATGGGCAGTTTCTATCCCTCTGCAATCCTGGACATGACTGACTTCTCTAATAGATAGGCAAGAACCAGCTCAGTACATTTTCAAAAACAGATACCTAAAATAACAACAGGAAGATCAGGTTGATTTCATCCCCGTGTCAATATCAGATAATTTTCTGGGCTAGAAAGGTAAATGTGTTAACTAACTGAAAAATGACTCGTTTTTGTCAAATCACTTCATATTAAGGTTCTGGCATCTGACAAATGTTCCAGAGCATAACTGAAATGAACGGACACCTTATTCTTGTTTCTAACATTCCTTGTTACTTCTCAACCAAGGATATTTTTTCCCATGGAGAAAAAAATGCTTGAAATCAAACCAAGATTCATAGACTATTTACATTTAAAATCACAAATTCAATCATCATTAACCCAACAGATTTAGGTCTCCTGAATGTTTAAATGAGTGTATGTTTTTCTCAAAGCCATTTTGGAGTACACCATCTTCTTTCTCTTTGTCCTGGTAGACTGATTGCTGGGTCTAAATTACTCAAGATGTCAAATTTTGGATGTTCCTTAGGGAAGAATAGAAGGTTTTCAAATCTCACTGTCCTGGAGGCCATTATGACCTTATGCATGGGAAGCTCAAGCTAAGCTACACAGTATTTTTCCACGTATCAAAACATATATTTCAATGATTCAGAAAGACTTTTGTCAGTCTCTAATGACCATGTTTCCAAATAAAAGACTACAAAATACAACTTTGCACAGCTTGGCTATAAATAAGTGCATTTTTCCCCAGCAACGATAATATAGAGGTAACGTCCTTATCTATGACAAGCCTTGTGGAGTCGACTGAATTGTAGTTTCTGTGGAAACAGTAATTCAGATGGTCTGACTTCTGCAGTTAAAATTGTAGCTCAGAGGTGGCATTAAAAATATTTTTGTAGTTATCCCAAGATGAGCGTGATCATTAGCCTTTTTTACTTTGCCTGGTAACAACATTTAGCCTGTTGCTAATAGAGCAATTTTCTGGCAGGTCTGATTAGCAAAGATGGACAATTTCATTAATTAGTCTCTTCCTCCAAATGGTGTTTCATGGGAACAATAGAAGTTGAGGTTGGGGTGGAGAATGGCCCAATATTGAGAGATCTACGTCAACTCTCCCTTCCATTTTGCTTATGTAGACAAAACCTTTCTGAGAATTTGACTGTGTACTTCTTTCAGCTTCCTGGAACTCTGGGCATAATTAGCAGATTCTAATCCATGTTCATTTTTAACCTCATCAGTCCACATGTGAAAGGACTTTCACTCCAACTTCTGATCCACTTGCTTCTTCCTTCTGGAAAGTTCCATCAGTCCCTTCAACCAGACAGCATCCTATTTAGGAGCAATTTTACTAAATCTGCTGAGTCTGGTAACTTGAAAGGGGGAATTTGGCTCACTAAGGCAGTTCAAAACACTGTGAAAGAAAAAGCCAAACGTAGGGGTTTTTAGTAACGACAAATAATCGAGGGGTTTTGCTGAGTTTGTCCATCACATGTGTGCAAGGCTCAGAAATGCTGGGCAACCTTTGTGGGTGGACATGTGCATCTATCTGCCTGTGAGCATGTGCATGCAGGGAGGAAAGGGATAATTCTGGCAAGGTCAAGTCCATGCATTCTGTTCGAACTTTATCAGTTATTACACCAGCAACGGGTTCTCAGACAGGCTGGTGGAACTTCTATTGCTGTGTGGTCTTAGGACGAAGAAGAGGGGAATGAATTTCAGAAATCAGTTTGAAACCAGCCTTGGGAGCAAGCAGACACCAATGAGATATGACTGATTTCCATGTAATTCTCTCAGCAAAGAGAGCTGGCTCCCTAGGGAAGCTTGGTTGGTTTCTGGATACTCATCAAAGCTTTGCATTGTTTCACTGAGAGCGCTACAGTCTGCAAAATCCCATGTGGGTGGCAAATGAACAGGGACATGGCGGTGAAGGGCCACAGGAAATACTTGAAA